TAAAAATGTACAAAATATAAAATCAAACAAAGCTGTTGAAATAATAATTGTCATATTATGAAGTACCTACTGCGAACAGTTAGCGATGTTCTGTGCGCGTTATCGTAAGGTTTCAATTTCACTGTCATAGAATACACGAAAATATTTTATAAAACAATAATAATTTCTTGAGTTCGTAATGACTATGTCCATTAATATATATTGTGGAGTATCATTTTACAAGGAAACCTTCTAACGTCCATTAGACGTGTCCAATCGATAAGTATGATGTGTCGGATGCCTTTTGTTTATCAACTTACGTCGGATTATCCATCGGGACAATAATAAAGTTTTTATAAATATTTTTACAAAATACTATAGGAATGATTACTACGGTTTTGTTAAATTTCAATCGAGCTTAAAAATTGTAAAAATATACGTGAACCATATTTGTTACATCTAAAATAATTTCTTAACGACAATCAAAGCGTTTAAAATTTGTTAAAAAAATTTCTAAATTATTTATTATTGCTTCTGATTCACAAATCAAAAGATTTGGGTCGCGCTGCATTTAAATTTTAAACGGTAATTCAAAACTCAACGTGCATTGATGTTTAAGTATGGATATGATTAATGATTCAAGTTTCATAGAAATGGGGCTTCAGTTTTATGATTTTGTAGGTAAACAGTTTATTTAATTATATAGTTCTTTATGCGTTTAAACTCTATTATGGGTGCTAATTTATTTTTACTATATTGCTTAATGGCCTATGATATTCTAGGCATAGGAGGAGGCATTTCTCATCCAAACTCTAGGGGCAAAACTGGGATAGATGGTAGAGACGAGCGCTTACAACCCTGCAATCAGATGCGAGGTCACCTCAAAGATGCCTGACTGACGGAGGCGTTGCTGAAAACGGTTCTGCGTCAGCCTGTAAAAAAGTCCCCGCTGATGTCCCTGGTGTTTCGATATACTCAAAATCAACCCGCAATGTGGATCACAGGCAATCGGTAGCATTTTAAAATCAGATTTGCGGCGCGCTATATTGAATAATTCGCCATCGATCGGACCACCGATGAGGCCGCCTCCAACAGGGGCTGAAGCTAGGCGTAAGCTGACTTCTTGCTCCGGCTTGACGACCGTGGAACGTGCTAAAAAAAGGTTCTCTTTCGCTCTCCACTGCCTCTTGCGCGATTGTGGACTGGCAGAAGTCTAGCATCGCATCTAAGGACATAGTAGCCACGATCTATCGACAGTTTCGATTCTATATTCCTCCATATTCTAATATAACACGGCCAACGTCTACAATTTGACTAAGCGTGTAAGTTTCGTTAGAATTGCTGTTCGTTAGTCTCGTTAAAACTCGAGAACGGCTGGACCGATTTGCCTAATTTTGGTCTTGAATTTTTTGTGGAAGTCCAGAGAAGGTTTAAAGGTAGATAAATATGAAAAATTTTGTTTTCTCTTTGATGTCCCCCGTCGGACAGATTCCTATTGTTTGTTTTAAGTTTATTTTATACAAACGTTTAGGTATTTTATTTATCGATTGAGGCACTACAAATTCTGCCGGGTCAGCTGGTTTCAAATAAAATAATGATGTACAACCAATGAATACTAAGAATACGCAATGTTTACTTACTTGAACTAAAATGTACTAAGAAGCCCGTTTATTGTTGTCGCCGTTTTCACAAAGGCTCAACGTTTATGTCATAAAAGCACGAACAATTTCTGATTTCGCTTCAAAGGTTTCCCGTCGAGTTGTGTCTTTGTTATAAGCTTTGAAGACGAAATTTATACAGCGCGAAGGAAATTGTTACCGGCTGTATTCATTATCTGCCGTTCCATCTTTGTATTACAAAACGCTAATAGAGTTTTTTGTTAATTAATTAATTACAAATTTATTGGTGACTTGAATAATGAATTGGATTAGTGAATAAACACGAGGTGTTTCGCGTTGAATTCTTATAGTCAATCAGAATTACTATCTGCTTTAAAATAATAAACAAATTAATTTACTGGACACGTCGATGCGATCGTACAATAACGGCTTCGTTGTTGGCAGGAAGACGCCACACTTGATCCTTTTAAGCTAAACGGATATTCCACTGATAGGATTGTCTGTCTGGCAGTTAATTTTCTATAGTGACCACCATTTCTTCTTTATATTTTGAAACTTTTAAAGGAGTGCCGCGCTAATACTCTATTCAATTGCTTCACCTCACACAACTCTAATTTAATTGCTTTGTGTTGTATGTATGATAACTGCGTGTTAATACATATATTTAATGTCTCACAAAAGAGTTAACAAACAACCAACCGACGAAAATTGAATCAGTGAATAATATAATTTGAAATCTATTCACGTTTACTATTAATTAATAATCAGCAGAGATGATTGGCTCAATTACTGAGCATGTGTCACATAATTGTCACAAATTGAACCAATCAGGCTAAAGGACCTTGCATGATCTATATCTATCTATTCTTGAAGCAAAACTTTAAACCCTTTTTACGAAAATTGCGCGGACGAAGGAGTATGAAATTTCCCCAACTTATGGAGAATATAGAGGAGTGCAGAATGCTAATATTTTAAAAAAATTATGCCTTGATTGTACATTATATAAATAAAAAAACATTACACACACTACCATGTATTTGACATACAGACAGACAGAATAATAAAAGGTCACAATAAACAAAGAGTATATATATCTCTTTGTTTATTGTGAACTTTTATTATTGCTTAAAGTCTGTGGTCAAATTGAAAATAGGGTAATATTGTTTATCTTTAATATTATTTGTCTATAGTGTAGGCTTGGCGAAATCTGTGATTATAGAAGCTTAATATTCTTTGACAATAGAACCTTAATAATGTTCAAACTTATAATTTCAATTATAGTCGAATTTCGACTACCGCGGGACCACTAGTATAAACCGGCATATTGATTAGAAGATTTTACTGGTTATAAGGTGTCTCGTGAGCCCGTACCGGTAGGTACTACCATTCTGTTTATTTCTGTCACGAAACATACATAATTCGTTTTCAAGGGTAGTAGAATAGTCAGACAAATGCGATTACAACTTCAAGCCTGTAATGCGGAAAAAACACTAAAATGATGACCTTTTAATAATAATGATGTACAGTACTTAGTGGTACTACATAAATATTTACAAAGTACACACCGCGCCTGTTTACGTGTGATGGATTGCGTAACCGAGGCGAACCTTTAACCTTTTCTCGATCAAATATTTTAGTAAGAATATTATTTTCTCTTTTGTTTCAAACAAACTTGCTTCTTTCCGTCCAATTCAATTCACGTTTGTTATTGTTATTGCTTTTTCTATTCATAGTAAATAATGATTTTTCACATTGTAACTAAATAAATAATTATTTCCGCCTGTGTTTATAAATGGTGTAACAATCTGATGCTATTATTTTAGTTCGTAAAAATCTACGAGCATTTTTAAAACCATGAAACCGACGAAGATTTTTTATGGTTAAAACTTTAACATGAGGAATGTTTTTGTTTTATATTTTAGTAAAATTAAAATTTTCACACGTTTTCTTACGAGTTTTAAAATAAAATGATTTTTCCATTTCAATGTTCCCTAGCCGGACTATACAAAACAGGCCCAATATTATTTTATTACAATCAGGCGGGCTGTATACACTTTTGTCTGTATTTTTCTATGTATGTATATTGTTATTGCATAGATAAAAGCCCACTGAGTTTCTCGCCGGATCTTCTCAATGGGCCGCGTTTCCGATCCGGTGGTAGATTCTGCGAAGCACGGCTCTTGCTAGGGTTCGTGTTAGCAACATCGTCAGGTTTGAGCCCCGTGAGCTCACCAGTAGGTAGGTAGCACGGCTCTTGCTAGGGTGTTAGCAACATCGTCAGGTTTGAGTTCACGTAACCTTAACTAGTAAGTTAAGGTTACTCTGATATGGTTTGTCTAGACCAGTGATTATCAAACTTATTTCTTTAACGGCCCCTTTTGAAAATCAATTATTTTCAGCGCACCCATTTTTTATACACCCCTAAAACTTAAAAACCACAATTTCACAAATAATACATAGCCCCTCTAACCTACATCAACGCCTCCCATTTTTTCTGGGCCCCTTAACGCCCCCCTCTAGGTTTCAAACGCCCCCAAGGGGGTGCTATCGCCCACTTTGAGAAAGACTGGTCTAGACTATCAGTTTAGGTAGGAATATAAAAACAGATAAAAAACTTGTATTATACATAAAGATAGGCAGCGGCTTGGAAGTGAAGGCATCAGGTTGGCGTTGCTGACGTCGATGAACTACCGTAACAACTCACTATCAAGGGCCGTACGCTCGACAAGGGCAATAAAAAAATACATTACGTATCTTTAATTTTTTTTACATTGTAGTTTTATGATATAATAAATATTCCTTCGGTTACATAATTTTACATAATTTTTTAAAACAGTTTTTTTTTTAATTAGTATTTGTCGTAAATGCGTCATTACGATAGTTCTAAACTTAAAGCTCAACTCCAGAACGGCTAGAACCGATTAAAATTTTTAATTTGTTATGCATTTTGACTAAACTTCGAAACTAAAGTTCAAAATGGTATGGTATTTGGTGCTACGAGAAAGATTGTAAACACTGCATGAGTGTTGAGTTATGCACCGATGTTCGAATCCCAGGCGGGTACCAATTTTTCTAATAAAATACGTACTCAACAAATGCTCACGATTGACTTCCACGGTGAAGGAATAACATCGTGTAATAAAAAACAAACCCGCAAAATTATAATTTGTGTAATTACTGCTGGTAGGACCTCTTGTGAGTCCGCGCGGGTAGGTACCACCACTCTGCCTATTTTCTTAGAACTTATATCTCAAGGTGGGTGGCGAATTTACATTCTAGATGTCTATGGGCTCCATTAACCAGTTGGATTGTGAGCATGTCCACAAATCTAAGCAATAAAAAAGTGTAATAGCATGATTTATTCAAATCCCTCTAAGTGTGTAACATTTGTCTTTTCCGTAGTATACTGTTTGCGGACATCGTTGGTTTTACTGTACTCGCTTCGCAGTGCAGTGCGCAGGAGCTGGTGCGGCTACTGAACGAACTTTTCGGAAGATTCGATCAATTGGCGAACGTAAGTCCCATAATACAGGGTGTGTTTTAAGGGTCCCCGCAAAACGAATAAGTTTTAAACTTGCATTTTACTTTGGTTTTACATTCCACGTAACACAATTATAAAATCTACGAGCACTTGGGATGTCTTAGCCAATGCCTTTAAAATAAGTCCGCTGTGTTTGTTCCTCGAGGTATCTTTACAGCCGTTGCGTCGTTAGTTGCGATCGTACATGCACTCACAAAGAAGCTATTCCTGAGCTGTTAGGTCTTGCATAGAGACGTTCGAGTAGCTATTAGTCCCCTTTCCAGCTGAAACCCGATCTTTCTCACCCACCCAACTAAAGCTGCAAATGACATGGCTACAAGCTACACAACTGCCCAAAATAACTCAACAATTAGACATTTTTTTTGGTATAGGACAATCATTGCCTCCGCATCAAGATCCTGGGTGGTTTTAAACTTGCATTTTACTTTGGTTTTGCATTCCACGTAACAATTACAAAATCTGCGAGCACATGGGATGTCATAGCCAATGCCTTTAAAATTAGTCCCTTGTGTTTCTCGAGGTATCTTTACAGCGGTTGTGTCGTGATTCGCGATCGCAGATGCACTCACAAAGCAGCTATTCTTGAACTGTTAGGTCTTGCTTAGAGACGTTCGGGTAGCTATTAGTCACCTTTCCAGGTGAAGCCCGATTTTGCTCACCCGCCCTGGTGAACTTATGTGACTTATGGCTACAACTGCCCAAAATAACCCAATATTTAGACATTTTTTTGGTACAGGACAATCATTGCCTCCGCATCAAGATCCTGGGTGACTGTTACTACTGCGTGTCGGGATTGCCGGAGCCGCGCTCCGACCACGCTCGCTGCACCGTCGAGATGGGACTAGACATGATCGATGGCATCGCGTGAGTTCAATTCTCCCAATAAATACTTATAAGTTTCATCATCAGCCTGCGAAAGTCCACAGCTGGATATAGACCTCCCTCAAAGCTCGCCACTGAACCCGATCTTCGGTTATTATGAAGATCTTATAAGTGGTAGCTGTCCGTAGCCCGGGGATTCTTTGCACCCAAGAATCCCCGGGCTACGGACATCTACCACTTATAAAATTACATATTATAAATGTTAGTAGCCCGTCAACTACGTGCTTTACTGGTGGTAGGACCTGTGACTCCGTACGGATAGGTACCACCACCCTGCCTATTTCAGGCGTGAAGCAGTAATGCGTTTCGGTTTGAAGGGTGGGGTAGCCGCTGTAACTATACTGAGACCAGAACTTATATCTCAAGGTAGGTGGCGGCACTTACGTTGTTGCTGTCTACGGGCCCCGGTAACCACTTGAAACCAGGTGGTCCGTGATTGTCCTTCCACCTAAGCAATTAAAAAAAAAGCGTGAAGAAATTATTCAAAATGTGGAAAGTTAAGTTTATGTCGTAAATGTGTTTTTTATTTCATATAACTTGAGAATACCTCCGCTTTTATTTACTGAGATGGGTAAATAAGTTCACAGTCCATAATGTTAAGCGGACTGCAACATGAACTGCGCCGTAAATATTTCTCGAGAAACATGATTCAAGTTTAATTGCATTGGTCTTAAAGGCTGTGGTGCCCTTCAAAACGAAACGCATGATTGATTCGTGTGATTCGGATTTATAATTCATGACACATTTCAATTAAGTTCAACTGTATTGTTTCTGGAACGTTTTTTACTGTCAATCAAGCGAGTTCATTAGTTCAATTTCCTCAATTCCTCTATTAGATCTGACCGAATTATCATTGTCTACCTTTTTTTTTTTTTTTTTTTTTTCCTACCTAAGCTGATAGCCCTAGCGGCTATTTCAGCGTAACCCTAACTTTAGTAGGTGAGCTCACGGGGCTCAAACCTGACGATGTTGCTAACACGAACCCTAGCAAGAGTCGTGCTTCGCAGAATCTACCACCGGATCGGAAACGCGACCCACTGAGAAGATCCGGCGAGAAACTCANGTGACGTTCTTAGTTACCGCCTTTGTTATCTGGTCGGCTTGTTTATCTAATTTCTCTTCGAGTTTACGTAGAAGTAATTCCATATTTTTATCCATATTGGTTTACTACTCTGGTAACTTTCTAGTTTTGTGGTGTTTTCACTGTTTTTTGTAGAGATTTTAATTATTTTACTGGCAGCCCCGATGTTGATATCGACTAACGTCACTGTCACTCGAATATACTAAGTGTATAATCTATGGCTGACACTGCTGGATATAGGCCTCCCCCAAAGCTCGCCACTGAACCCGATCTTCGGAAGATCTTATAAGTGGTAGCTATCCGTAGCTCGGGGATTCTTCGCACCCAAGAATCCCCGGGCTACAGCCATCTACCACTTATAAGATTACATATTATAAATGTTAGTAGCCCGTCAACTACGTGCTTTACTGGTGGCTCTTTAAATACGAAGAAAGTTAAATGTCGCTTGATGTATTTGTAATCAGTTCTACAGTTATTACTTCCTTGTCCTTAATACAGCAGTCCTCTCTTTGATATCATTGCTTGTGAAGTTTATTAATGGTTTCATTGAATCTCTTGAGATTTCATATTCACTGGCGATAGGACCTCTTGTAAGTCCGTACAGATAGGTACCACCACCCTGCCTATTTCAGGCGTGAAGCAGTAATGCGTTTCGGTTTGAAGGGTGGGGTAGCCGCTGTAACTATACTGAGACTAGAACTTATATCTCAAGGTAGGTGGCGGCATTTACGTTGTAGCTGTCTACGGGCCCCGGTAACCACTTGAAACCAGGTGGTAAGTGAGATCGTCTATCCACATAAACAATTAAAAAAAAAGCGTGAAGAAATTATTCAAAATGTGGAAAGTTAAGTTTATGTCGTAAATCTATTTTTTATTTCTTATAACCTGTGAATATCTCAGCTTTTATTTACTGAGATGGGTAAATAAGTTCACAGTCCATAATGTTAAGCGGACTGCAACATGAACTGCGCCGTAAATATTTCTCGAGAAACATGATTCAAGTTTAATTGCATTGGTCTTAAAGGTTGTGGTGCCCTTCAAAACGAAACGCATGATTGATTCGTGTGATTCGGATTTATAATTCATGACACATTTCAATTAAGTTCAACTGTATTGTTTCTGGAACGTTTTTTACTGTCAATCAAGCGAGTTCATTAGTTCAATGTCCTCAATTCCTCTATTAGATCTGACCGAATTGTCATTGTCTACCTTAGAATTTAGGAAAAATACATATAGTAACTTTTTTTTTATTGTTAGTACCAGTTCTATCCGTAACTTTTTCAGGGGCGTTTTAAATACGTATTACGTAAAATCCGTCCTTCTTTATTATTGAAATGTTAAGTACATATTTTAATGAGACTTATCGGGCATTTTATCAGCACAGCATTAACGATGCGGTAATCGTTCTACGTGTATGTAGTGGGTCGTATTAGCTTTTGCTATTAATAATCTCGCTTCTTTGAACGATCAGTGCGGAGACACTTCAATTAATATTAGAATTGAGGCTTCAACCACATTCCTCAATCTCAGTGGCGGCCTGACCTCACTTTATTAGTTTCACTCAACAACCTGTCGTCTACCAAACTAGTGCAAGACTTTGTTGTCTTTTCTCAAGGCCTAGGGAATATCATTTCTCGGGAGATAATGTCTTTTTGACAGTTCCGAAGTACATAAACAGACCTGACCCTATTTCCAACAGATGTGTCACTCGACCCAAGTAAAGGTGAAACCTAGAGAGGTTATCCACAATACTCTTGTAAAACGTTTTCCATCACCATAAAGGATTTTCGTGTCAATACGATCGAATGTTTTTGTTATAAATAGCATTTATAAGTATTATCGTCCTTGATCCGAAAATATTCTTTTTTTTGGGGAACAACGTCACGTAAACTCATAGTTTATTTGCGTGGTTGTGTAGTCGTGTTATTTTTAAGAGCTGGATGTGTGGGTAGCGTGCGCATTGTCTATGTCGCGATGCCCGCTTATCTGCGCGTTTGCTCCTCAAAGGAGTACAGCTAAAAATATAACACTGCGTTGTGATCATGACCCCGGTCCTGGATAAAATCTTAGTCACACGATGTTGGTTAATAATTATAAAGTTGTCTTTAAATTGTTATTGAATTGCAAAAACGATTCAAAATGCTATACGTGTTTTTTTTATTTTTTAGATGGGTGGACGAGCTCACAGCCCACCTGGTGTTAAGTGGTTACTGGAGCCCATAGACATCCACAACGTAAATGCGCCACCCACCTTGAGATATAAGTTTCAAGGTCTCAAGTATAGTTACAACGGCTGCCCCACCCTTCAAACCGAAACGCATTACTGCTTTACGGCATAAATAAGCAGGGTGGTGGTACCTACCCGCGCGGACTCTCAAGAGGTCCTACCACCAGTAGTCACACGATGTTGGTTAATAATTATAAAGTTGTCTTTAAATTGTTATTGAATTGCAAAAACGATTCAAAATGTAATAGGTGTTAAATAATTCATCATCGTATCGTAGGTAATTAAAGTAATAACCACAAAAAAAGTCTATTAGAAAACCCGCGCCGCGGCGTATTGAATGCTATTAAAATGGTTAATCTTATATTGTAAACAAATGGCGAGGCTACAAGAGGTGGAGAATACCGCGCTTTGACCGCAAGCCGCAACCCCAAGCGCAGACAGCCTGTATCGGTATTCACGGACTATTATATTACTGACGTATTTCAACTTCGCCGGTTTCCGTATATTTATGATGGGTCGTGAATTCCTCAATAATTTTAGATTCTCATATCATTTATATGCGGTCGTTTAAAAATGACTTCGATTGTAGAGAATTGTTTTTTTTTTTAGTTGGTAAGATGAGTTCATGGCATGTTTGGTATTATTTGGTTACTAGAGCCCATAGATACCAATGCCATCCATCTTGATACTTGAGTTCTAAGTCTCAGTTTTATATATTACAACAGTTGCCTCACCGTCCAAACAGAAACGCATTACTGCTTCACTCAGCAATGAACAAGGTGGTGGTATCTATCCTTGCGGGCTCACAAGACGTCCTATCAAAACTCTTACATATATCTTGCAAATACTCGATTATCTTTGAATGATCTGTCTTCTTGTCTCTTACCTTTAAATGTATAAAGTCAAAGTCAAAGTTTCTAGGCAAAGTTAAGTTTATAGATAGTTTTGTTAATTCGGTCAGCCAATTTCGATATATTTTAATTATTTCAATCATTTATACTTTCTAGACTATCACAACACAGCTCACGTCACATGATTCTGGATGAAAATAATTTTTACGAGTTTTTCATAGTCTTGATTAATTTTTTGTTGGCAAAGAATATTGAAAATCAAAGATTTCAGCGAAACGTATTGTTTTGTTTAGAGTTCTATTATTTTCGTCAGAAATTCCACGCGTCACATTAAATTACGTCGAGACGTCTACGTTCGTTATAAAGGAAAACGAAATGATTTGATGTGAAAGTTCAGTGTTTTCGTAGTGTAAGGTACACTCACAACATCAGGATGCTCTGATATTTTTTATATTTATGTGGGTATATATGAGTTGATGTAGGACGCTCTGATATTTTTTTTATTTATGCGGGTATTTAAAAGTTGATGTTTTACTATCTTCTTTAACTTACCGTTGAGATTATTTTTTAAACTTCTAAAATAAAGATATATTATATTCGTCCTTCTTAGTGTTGATTAAAAATGGTTTTCTAATATTCTTAAAAACAATCACTAATAATACTTTTTGTTTAAAAGAACACGTAAATAAAGATCAAAGAGTTCCTATATATTAGCAATTTACCATACCATTTCCATTTTAAAGGACTTACGTAAAGTAAAGTTACTTTTTTATCTATAATTATACTCAAATATTGGATATTAATACTACTTTACAGCTAACTA